AATAGTTTGGTCTTCGGGAAAGTATTTTGTTGGATTACCACATACCTAGACTTCTATGCAAATTGTGCCTCAATAATTCTAATTTGTACAATGATTGTTGGCAAGTGGCTGATGCTCAAGTACCCCATGAAAGCTCGATTGTGGTCAAGAAATCAAGCCCATATTCTCTGCGCAGGTGTATGGATTTTTAGTTTCAGTTCCGTTTGTATCCTTCTTCTGGTAGATTCTGACGATATATATTTAAATGATAATCGGTACAAGTGTTCTTATAAATTCAGTTCCAAAACTTGGGAATGGCTTACCCCGACCATTTATGTACTGTATGTATTGTTTCCGACCTTTGTGATGATTCTAGTATCAATCTTGTTGGTGAAGCACTTGCACGATGCAAGAAGATTATCAATGCGATCTCTTGGCAAAGTTCGTTGGCAGGGCGTTGTCACTGTTGTCCTTACAGCTGTTGTGTACTGTGTCTCTTTTTTACCAGATGGTCTGAATATCTTGATGCAGCTATACCTGGGGAAGTCAGGCCATCGATATTTCTCTCGGGTAGCTAAAACCTGCACGTATCTGAACGTTGCATCCAACTTTTTTGTTTACAGTCTTGCTGTACCCAGTTTTCGAAACTTTATTCGAAGTAGACTTTGTCCGACTAGGTCAGCTTTTCGTGCTGTTATATTGCCTCCTTCTCCGGTGAGAAAATTAGATATCTTGTTAATTTTTTAATCATAATCAATTTTGGGTGACCTGTGTATGGTGCTGAATGCTGATCATAGGATCATATTATGTTTGAAACGAGAAAGTTAGGTTGGTATTTCATCTGAGTATATAAATTAGAATGTACAGCTGTGGTAATTCTCAGGAACCTCAGCTGCCGGGCCAAGAGAACACTTCAAGATACTCACACAATCTGCAGACAGGAGTTTGATGTTCATCTGTCACATTGGTAATGTACTTGTCATCTTAATGTTATACTCATCTTAACTGTTATCTTAAAGTTATAATCGTCTTAATTCCTGTCATTCTAGCTGTCATCTTAACTGACACGGACATTTTTAGATAGTTCGAATCTTTGAAATTGTTCCATCTCTGATTATTAAGTTATTGCTATCTAATAAAAATTATCACATTTTTACCAGGTAATTTGAAAATGTATTAAAGTATTTTACCAGATAAATATCTCATACTGAAACCTTTTCAGTTGGAACTGTTCGTAGAAGAATTCAAAGAATTTCGGAATTCCAGACTGGAGACCAGAATAACTGTCGTATCTCACGGACAATTGTTTGTTTTTGGCATGCATTTGATCAATTATTTTAACATTATTATTTCAGTTTTATTTGCGCTATTGCGTTACTGCAACCAATTACTAGCCTTATCTTAAGAAATCTTCCTCATGATTCTTCCTTCACAGTATTATTCCCTTAAACTGTGTTAACATTTTCCACTTTCCCAAAATTTCCACTCTGCAGTATATTAATAGTTGTCTCATTGCATATTAGCTTTATTATTCTACTTAAACGAAAATATGAGTTTTGTAAGATCTTTTGTAACAATATAATTCGTATTACATTTTTCCGGACTCAGGTTTTATATTGGTGTAGTGTATTTGTTTATTGTGTGCTCATATAAATATGCAGGCCGTAGGCAAAGGGCATTCTTCATCTGTCGTCCATGGATGGTCACCAGCTGCTTAAAGAGGTTGGGAACGAAAAATATTTGTCGAACCTGGACTCTAGTTCGACACGTACTGAAATTCGACTGGGGTGATTTCTAGCGAACTTCAGTTGTCTAACTAGAGTACTTGTCGTACTAGAGACTAGAGTACGTCCTATATATCAGAGGACAAATTCCAAGAAAATATTCAACAACGGCTTCATACCAACCATATCAATACCAACTCACAAAATGCATGGCTGTTCCAGGACTTGTATTGACAATATCCATACCAATGTAGTAGACAAATCTCTTATCTCTGGTGTCATATCTGATATCTGATTTAAGATCTCCCACCATCACCCTATATTTACTCTTGTGAAGCTTTCCCCCGACTCTGTGCCAATACCTGATTTAGAACCACTAAACGTAACAACACAAACAACCGTTGCATTACCCAGGGCCTAATTAATTCTATCGAAAAGAAATCTGGGTTGTATTTCGAATGGAAGAAGACTTGTACATTAAAACTACCTGACGGGGATCCAAACAAGCACATCGCCACATCCACTACATAAAGGAATTCGACAAGTTTCTATAAAGCTCAATAAATATGGCAAAGGCTATACATGCTATACTAGAAAATTCGAGAAGTACAGCATGAACTCGAAAAAGACTTGGGAAGTTATTAATGAACTTCGTGGTAAAACTATGTCATAGATTGTCAGAGAGTTACTTGCAGACGAATAATTGCTAACAAATTTTGTGAATATTTTACATCTCTTGCAAGTAATCTCAATAAAAATGTACTGTCGAACAATAGTTTTTCTCTGGAACCAGTAAAATCATTAGCTCAGTTCATGTCTAATTCAGTATCTGACTCCATATTATACCTGGAAGAAACTAATGAAGACGAGATTATCGAGGTGATCAGAGACTTTCAAAATGGCAAGGTGAGTCTATAATCGTTGTAAAAAAAATCGTCAAACCTCATTGCTGGTACCTTGGCTAGGTTTTACAACACATGTATACAAACTACAAAGTGGTACTTTCCCAAGTATTTTTAAAACTGGTAAAGTTATTCCTATTTACAATGATAATGATAGCGGCTGCTCATGCTCGTTATTGAAATATTCGAAAAACAAGGTCAAGATGTAGCTTATTTACCTTCTTCAGATCTCTTTTAACTAGTAAGCTAGTAGTACTAGTAGTAACCGACTAACAATTACCATTAATAATTCGGATACTATTAAATCAATATTTAATTCGGGGTACGAAATTTGGGATTTTTATTTTACAGACTTCTTAGCAGTGAGACGTGACAAAACTTTAATATTACCAAATCCTTTCTCAGGAAATCAAGACAAGGATTTAATTCTAGGATCAAATTTTTTGTTGAGCAGCCTTTTCTCATGACAATTAATTATGTCCCAACTCCCAGAATTTCCAGCTCAGGCAAGCAGCTCTGACAGTCTGACTGGCTGTCTCTCAAGTAATCTTTATTCCTACTCAATTTGTCAAATGGTTAATTAACCTATCTCGCGTGGAAAGTGTAAGGAACTGAAATTAGTTTTACGAACTTCTTGGCAGTGAAAATTAATAATAATATTATATCACATCCTTTCTCAGGGAATCTGGACAAGGATCAAATCAAGTAATCAATTTTTTTGTTGAGCAGCCATTCTCATATGAGAATTAATTAAATTGTGTCTTTTCAGCTCTCCTAGCCTCAGCCTAGCTGATTAGCGATTGGCTGTTACCCAATCTTTGTTCTTACTCAATTTGTAAAATGGTTAACAATGTTAACCATTTTACAAATTGAGTAACATTTCTCACGGGTATGCTGTAAGGAACTAAAATCACAACTGCAGTTAAATAATGGTTGCGTGGCATTACTTTGCTATTCTTTCTTAGATATTGTCCCTGACGTAGCTCAGACTTTCTTAAAATCATTTCTCTCAGCAGTATTATATTTAGGATTCGTGCACTTATTCTTTTATGAGATTATAATATAACTAGAAAGCCCGTGATCACAGGAAGGAAGATAATATTAGTTTTTATCACATCAAAAAATATCTGTCACAACCGATGTCACAACCTTGGTAACAGCGTTGAACGCGGATGTGCACATTTTGATCGATTTTGTGGTAATTAAGTTGTGTTCAGTGCGAGCTACATTTTAATTGGCTGTATCTTCGGTTGTGACAGATATTTGATGTGATAAAAACTAATATTATCTTCCTCCCTGTGATCACGGGCTTTCTAGTTATATTATAATCTCATAAAAGAATAAGTGCACGAATCCTAAATACCACTGAGAGAAATGACCTTAAGAAAGTTTGAGCCACGTCAGGAACAATATCTAAGAAAGAATAGCAAAGTAATGCCACGCAACCATTATTTAACTGCAGTTGTGATTTTAGTTCCTTACAGCATACCCGTGAGAAATGTTAACCATTTTACAAATTGAGTAAGAACAAAGATTGGGTAACAGCCAATCGCTAATCAGCTAGGCTGAGGCTAGGGAGGAGCTGAAAAGACACAATTTAATTAATTCTCATATGAGAATTGCTGCTCAACAAAAAAATTGATTATTTGATTTGATCCTTGTCCAGATTCCCTGAGAAAGGATGTGATATAATATTATTATTAATTTTCACTGCCAAGAAGTTCGTAAAACTAATTTCAGTTCCTTACACTTTCCACGCGAGATAGGTTAATTAACCATTTGACAAATTGAGTAGGAATAAAGATTACTTGAGAGACAGCCAGTCAGAGCTGCTTGCCTGGGCTGGAAATTCTGGCAGTTGGGACATAATTAATTGTATTGAGAAAAGGCTGCTCAACAAAAAATTTGATCCTAGAATTAAGTAATTACATGTAATTACAGGTAAACCTCAAATTTTTGCGAGCAGTATCTCAGCAACGCAAGGTCAGATTTTTATGCGTTTTTTTCTACTTGTTCATCTCCAGCAGCTCGATCACATATGTGAAAATGAAAAAATGATAATTTACCCCCCCCCCCCCCCCCCTCTGGCCTTAATTACATATAAATCTCAAACTTTGGGGTGTAATATCTTAGCAACGCAAGGTCAGATTTGTATGCAGTTTTTTTCCTGATTGTTCATCTCCAGCAGCTCTATCACATATTATGTGTAACCTAAAAAAAGATGTTTACCCTCCCCTTTGGCCTTAAAGGCCCTCGGTTGACCTTTAACAGCTTCGACTACTGGTTCCTTATAAAAACTACTCTAGACTTACATCGGAAATCTCACAGGATTAAAATGAGTTAAACCGTGAGTGAAAATTATCTAAATCAGTGATCCAATAATCTTTTATCTTACCGTCGTTTATGCTAAAGTAAAATCTCTGTTTGTTTCCCTCCATGATCGTGTTAAGTTTGTTTTCTCTTGGTAAAAACTGAAACAATTTCACTTTTAAAGAGTTTAAAGCAACACTATTTTCTGTATCCTTTGAACAATTCATATCAGTCAAGTAAATGCTAATAAAACTGAACAACTTTTTATTATAATCAGACAGACAGAGAAGAAAATCCGAGAAACAACAAACGGAATAAATTACCTTCCATGCGTAGAATATAGCAGTGGTGCCGGTGTTTTTCAAATTGATGTGCTGAGTTGAGATAACACCTGCATCTGTGTTGAACAGGATCCTAACCACTGTGGGATCCCGGGTCTTTGAGCCCCATCTAGATTCCACTCCATTTATTTCTAAAATTGGCCCTTTTCTTGTGTCCTCCTCCGGGGGTGATTGGAGCATTTCAGTGTCAACTTTTTCCACACTGAATAGATTGGAGAGGTTTAACGATAAGTGATTCTGGATGGCTGGTGAATTGGAACCAAAAAGTGAAACCCAGTTTTGATCATAAAATTATTGAACCCTCGGATGTTCAGTGTCCACCCAAACTCTTATTCAAACCGGAACCCCCGGAACCTCGAACCCCAACAATGCTAGTGAGTTTTATTTGGAAACTCTATTGGTTAAATGGACGAATATCGAGACAGTTTAATTTTGATAACTTAGGGCTTAATTTGGTAGGTTTTATCGTGATTTGATTCATGAAAATACTAACGATTCTTCTGCAGGGATACAAATATCGTGTTCCGAAACTTCAGCAGACTTGAGCTCTCGTTTGCCTCTTACAAACAAACCAGAAAAATCCTGAGGATAAGGGATGAATTAGTATTCTGTCGGTTTTGAGACATAGCGAGGACAAACATTATTAATTTTGGTTCAGCTGCCAGACGAAGAGGGGATTTTTAGATATCTTAGCTAAAACTATCGTTTCATCAATAACTGAATGATCTTAGAATCTGGAGTTCCACATTACTCTCACTGGTCTATAATTATAATACTTGCAGCATATAAAATATAGTTTTTACTGGTCTAGGAGGCTCTTGTTCAGTTAACACACAGTCAAGTTCTTTTCTTCTCTTCTCAAAGAACTTGCTCCGTTTCCATGGATACATGTGTCCTTGTTTACCCTCTGAAATAATACATAATACAAAGTTAAACTTAAATTCGGTACCTTTATTTAGAATGATGCTGTCTTGGAGTGTTTTAATTCGAAAACTGTAAAAAGTGGCAGCAATAAAACGTCCTGTATGATATATTACCGCTGATGAAAGGATTCCCAATCCGCTCCAGTTCTGGATGTTTTCCTTGTTCACTTTGATTCAGAGTCATTCTGAAAAACAGGTTTTTTAGTACTAAAGTCATGTTTTTGAATTTTTTACACGTTCAGTTGAGGGTACAAATTCTCAAGATGAAGTATAATTCGTAATTTTGGGTAAAATTTAAAAGAAATCTTTATAGAAATCTTTGCTCAAAAAGAACTCACACAATAGAATTGTCTTCCTCTCCGATTTGTTGAGGCTGACTCCAGAACTCACTCCCTACTCGGACTGATAGAAAAGGCTGACTTTATAATTTAGAAAAAACAATTATTAACAAAGCTATTTTAACACTGTTAATGGAAAACAAATATAGCACATGGGCTGTCTTAACGAACGAAACAACATTTGAAGCGGGGTTTTAAGCTCTTTTAAGTTCCATCAGAATACTGTTGATATTGAGTTGGGTAGTAAGTTAAAATTATAACAAGTTTGTAATGAATGAGAAAAATAGGGCAATCAGCTTTACGACTTAGCAACTTACTTTTATACTCTAATATTATCATGGAAGTGTAGCCTAAATAAGTGGTTTCAATATGTCTACACTATTTTGTATGATATCATTGTAATCAATCTTTAAAATCAACATATTTTTCATGACTGATCGGGTAAGATCAAGTATAGATGCTTACTCACATCCCTTTCCAGTGTCCATAACAGGGATTACTCTGTCAATAATTGTCCTGAAAAGTAACATTTCAAGTGACGTTCAATATGAGAGATAGGCTACAACATCATAAACAAGTGAAATTAAAATCGAAATAATCTTTTTAAAGATTTTTTTTTTGTTTAAAAACAAAATGATATTTGGAAACTGTCATGAATGAAGAAAATAATTCAAAAACTCGAATGCGAAGACTGCTTGAACCTACCTTTCCTCTTGCTTGATTCTGTGCTCACTAGTTCGGTTCATAAGCAGGGAAGAAGGAGTTTTGCCCGTTTTGCTGGCCAGAACGTCCATTTGTCTTCCATGTGCTCTCAGCTGGCGTTCCCAATTTGAAAGCGCTTTACCCTCCCTTGTTTCCTGAGTGACATCTAAATTAATTTCAGAAATTACTAAATCCATCATTTGCAAAAACTACTGACTAAACACGGGCTAATTGACTAAATGTTTGGGGAAAAAAGAAGCCTGGTATAAAGACTAGAAAGAGGGTGTACTATATTTTTTTACCTCTAAGATCTCTAGGGTTTCTGAAGGGGTTACAGAAATAGGTCTCGGAGCTTTCGATTTCTCCTGAAATGATAACGTCGTCTTATCAATATTCGTTGAGTGCTGAGTACAGTATAATACTATATAACAATTAATGATAAAATCATGCCCAGAAAAAGTTTGAATTGATGGTTACGTTCGAGTTTTCTCCTCAAATCAAAATCAGAGAGCATTGCTTGATTGCTAGTTTTTTGCAGAACAAATGCAATGTTTTGCGTGACTTTACTTAATTAATTTTGTTCAGAATTCAGGATTGAAGGACATGCAGTTATCATGCATGTTCTTACTTGAAATACTGGCTTATCAATGAAATCCTAAAAGGTTGTGATTAAATATACATACATACTATTAAATTCGAAGCAACAAATAAAATATTGTTGATAATACAACATGAACAGACGGTATATTTTTTTCATAAAAAAATGAATATTACTTGCACTGCAGCTGGACCTTTACTTATCCAAAACACCTTATATCTAAAACTGAGTTTCTTACGAATTCAAGATCAATTATTTTACTTGTCGAAAAAAATGTCATGATTTGTGAACTGAAGCAGCAAACACAAAACACACATACCACATTTCCGTCAGCTATCTTTGCAGTTTGGTACTGATCCACAGCACCCAGGATGGAGTAAGGTAATATCTCTCCTTGAGGATTGAACCGAGGACCAGCACTTTGCACAGCCACCTCGGGTAGTCTCGCTTCTACTTTCTTCAGAACAGACACTCTGGAGATCATTTTGGTAATGTTATGACAATATTAATAATGTTAGTAAGTTAGACGATACTTTAACTGCCAGCTGACTGTAGAAGTAATTTTTGAAGAAATATTGTATTCCCTACTATCAGATAAATTCCAGAATTCAAGAATTTATGAGTAACACTTACGTTTTAGTAGGTACATTTGACACGACACGCTTTTTCCTTACTTCAACACTTTTCAGCTCTTTTGGAGGAGCAACTAAGGGCGCGGGCCGCCTCTGAAAGAATACAAAATTAAAAAATATTTGTCGATGTTAAGATTCATGTTTAACAGAAATTAAACTGCCAAAGAACTATTTTTGGTTCATGGTTTCCAACCTGCATGCTTAACTAATAGCAAAGCAAACTTACAGCGATCATATCGTGATCTGTAATGGTCAGTTCCTCCACCGTTGGTCCGCGGATCACATCAACAATCGGTGGTTGATGGTAGTTCTCAAAGGAAGCAAGTTGGCCTTCGAGTGGGATGTCAGATCCATCTGGAGACCCTGCCTTCTTCCTCTTGTTTGCTGTAAACACTTTGGGATTAAATGTGAGTGATCTGGGCTATATGCCATCAGAGTGGGAACCTATGATGTTTGCACTCATACAATAGGAATGCCAGTTCTCACTATGAAAATAAAGTAAAAAAGTCAAAGATGTTCAAAATCAGTTATATTATATGAAGCAACATGAATCGGTATTTAGTATTACGAAGAAGCTGCAACAATCACCTGAAGAGCGTGGCCTGTCTTTTCCTCCCTTTCCTTTGACCATATCTGTGCTAAATCAATAACAGGTGATAAGGCATTTAAAGGGTTCGAGCAAATTTAAGAGAACTCGATTTGGGATCATATTTTGACATATTGATCTTTCGCAGTCAAAACTGTGAAATTTTGGTTGCGGAAGGAAACGGAAGAAAAACTTCTATTAGAAAAAGTTTCCAAAATATCTTTTTATATTTTGACGATTTTTCGTTTATCAAAGCTTTATTTGAGAATAGCAGTGACCTTGTAAGATGGTCATTGAAGAAAAATTCAGTCAAAACAGTGAAATTAAGGTCGCTGAAAGCTGAAATTCGAATATGTCCTACCGGTAGGACATATTCAAAATTTTCATTGCATCAAAGTTTTCTTCGGATATACTGCTTCCAGTACCTTAATGGCGACTTGTGTCACTCTAATCGACCTCACTGATGAGTTACTGGTCAAAATGTCAGTCAAAGCCACGAAATTTCGGTCAAGGAGACAGCAGAAAAGCTTCTCTTCAAACATCTTCCAAAATCTCTTTTTATATTTTGACGATTTTCCGTTTATCAAAGCTTTCTTTGGAAACAGAACTTTCAATACCACAATCTTGTCTTGTGCCAGTGACCTACCTTGCTAGATGGTCTTTCAAGACAAATTTAATCAAAACAGTAAAATTTGGGTCATGGAAAACTGAAATTCCAATTTGTCCTACCAATAGGACAATTCAAATTTTCATTGCATTAACGTTTTCTCAGGATATACTGCTTTCAGTACCTTTATAGCGACTTGTGTCACTTTCACCGACCTCACTGATTGGTAAATGGTCAAAATTTCAGTCAAAACCGCGAAATTTCGGTCAAAGAGACGACAGAAAAGCTTTTCTTCAAAAAAATTTCTTTATATTTTGACAATTTTCCATTTATCAAAGCTTTTATAGAAATAAATCTTTTGAGTACCTCAATCGTGTCTTGTGTCATCCTCTTGACAGTGAAATTTGGGTCGCGGAAAGTTGAAATTCGAATATGTCCAAACGGCGCGCTTCTTAGTAGGTTATAAACCTACAACCAGTACATTGATGGCATTTTGTTTCATTCCCACCAACCTTATTGATGAGTCATTGGTCAAAACTTCAGTCAAAACTGCGAAATATCGAACAAAGACTAGAAAGACGGCAAAAAAGCCTCTTTCAAAAATCTTCCAACATCTAAAATCTTTTATATATTTTTGAAGCTTGATTATAAATTTGAGAATACAACTTTTAATACCAAAATCTAATCGTGTACTGTCTTATTAACGCTTTTTATACAAAGTTATAACGAATTCTTCATGTCTTGCATCCTGGGTTTGGACAAAATATGCCCGCTTATAAAATATTTCCATCACGTTACATTACATATAATTCTCAATAAATGTAATAAATTTTTGTCATACGTTGTGTGACCCGCCTTGACATACGTTGCATGCCACTTTTCGCGCGCGAGCGGAAAAATATATTATCTCTGATATTGGGATACGAAACATGTATCAAGACCCGCCGCGCACGAAGTGCGCGGCTCCCCCTGTATCGTCGAAGCGACAGTGGGGGTCACCACAAGATACAAATAAAGTTGTAGTGTTGTAATTATATTATAGTTTAAATGTTAAAACTCATTTATGCTGCATTTTTAGTGATTTTGCTAAATGATCATTTATGATTTAAGTAAAAAATGTGACTTAAAATTTGACTTAAAATTTGGTTTGAAATTTGGATTAAAATATGACTTAAAATTTGATTTGAAATTTGACTTATAAAAATGTACTTAAAAATTGACTCAAAATTTGACTTAAATTATTTTACCTGAGGACCCCAGGCTATTATGTTCATTAACATATAGATTTGGCGGAATGACAGGCTGAGCGCGGCCCAGTTAAAATTATTAGACTTAAAATTTGACTTAAAATTTGACTTAAAATTTGGCTTAAAATTTACATATAATTACATTATAGTTACATTACATATAATTCTCAATAAATGTAATAAATTTTTGTCATACGTTGTGTGACCCGCCTTGACATACGTTGCATGCCACTTTTCGCGCGCGAGCGGAAAAATATATTATCTCTGATATTGGGATACGAAACATGTATCAAGACCCGCCGCGCACGAAGTGCGCGGCTCCCCCTGTATCGTCGAAGCGACAGTGGGGGTCACCACAAGATACAAATAAAGTTGTAGTGTTGTAATTATATTATAGTTTAAATGTTAAAACTCATTTATGCTGCATTTTTAGTGATTTTGCTAAATGATCATTTATGATTTAAGTAAAAAATGTGACTTAAAATTTGACTTAAAATTTGGTTTGAAATTTGGATTAAAATATGACTTAAAATTTGATTTGAAATTTGACTTATAAAAATGTACTTAAAAATTGACTCAAAATTTGACTTAAATTATTTTACCTGAGGACCCCAGGCTATTATGTTCATTAACATATAGATTTGGCGGAATGACAGGCTGAGCGCGGCCCAGTTAAAATTATTAGACTTAAAATTTGACTTAAAATTTAAATAAAATGTTGCGCGCCGCCTATATTTCAATATTTTAAATTTCGCGCCGAGCGTTTTTATTGTATTTCAACTAATTTATACTGTTATTAAATCAAAGTTCTAAACAAGGGATAGTTAAAAAAACAACGCCCAAGTCTAATCTTTCCCTAAAACAAAAACTAAAAATTAAAAACTTTTTTTTAATCTCTTGTCATAACTCAAATTACGGAGATAATGCAGGTCAAAGATATTATTCAAATAAAGATTTCTTTTACATAAATCATGCACAATCAGCGAGAATAGATTGCTTTGGGGTCTTCCTCTTCTCCCTGGTAAGTCCAAAAGTTGATCAGCATACTGCATAACTGTCACAAGAAGCCCAAACTAAGTGTATACGAAAGAATCAGCTAGTGGATTACATGAACTCTTCCTTTTTTTGAAAAGAAACAATCATGTAATTATATGCTACTTTTTCTATTTAATCATGTATTGCTCCCACTTGTTATCCTTCTTTTTACTTTGAAATGGAAAAGAATTTACTGTTTGGTAATCTGAATGTCTGTCATCCCATCCAACACTTCACCTATCTTACAGTTTTATAATTCATTTTATTGGTCGCTGAATAATAAAATAACAATCAACTGTGACTCTATTTCCTTGATATAGGATGGCTTATGAACAGTATCCTGTTGCTGTGAGGAGTTTTAGCAGTGAATATGGACCACCTTATTCATCGAATCAAGTTCTGAGAAATGTTTGTGGTCAAAAATCTGATGCATCTCATTATGGTGATAATCAGTATGCTGCTGCATTTCGTCGTTACGGTGATTTTCATCTACACCGTCCATCTTACATTGCGTTTCCCTGCTTGTTGTCTCCAAAATGGTTTCCCTATACCGACTTTATGGAATGCTCATTTTCCCAGCCTGTCCTTGCAGTGTCTGTTCAAATATCTGAGAACTTTTTCCCAGGATCAGTTAGAAGAATTTTAGCAGCAAGACATGGTTGCATCGAAGATAAAGGGGTTGCAAAACATTGGCAAGTTCTTTGGCAGTATAATGAGTCAGCAGAAAATTCAAAATGTTGCTCTTTTGCTTACCACTTTCATGTGATAACTTTTCCAAAGACTTTGATTCCAGTTGATACCATTCGGATAGAATTTGATTTTACTGAGTCAATTTATTACTATCAATTGGAAGCAGTCAAATTGATAGGAGAGAAGTATATCGAAAGGCTGGACTGCGATCCAATGGAACACAATTCAGATGGGTTTGGAAACAGATTTGAACAATACAAGATTTCTAATGAGATAACTTCTAAAAATCTTATGAAACATACTCGTGATGATATCATTGACATTGACTATTCTTCTCCTATTGTTTCAGTCTCATCAGATGAGTCTCAAGGCATTGATTCTCTACCAAGTGAAATCCTCATCAAAATATTGGGATTTCTTGATATTGATGATCTTAGCCGTGCAACTCGTATTAACAAATTATTTTACAACTTATCGAAAGATCCAGGTTTATATACTTGTATCAATCTACGCCCATTCTACAGATTCTTAGTAGATGAATCAATAATACATATTTCAAAGAAGTGTGCTGCCCTTCAAAAGCTAGACCTATCTTGGTTGGGATCGAATAATCAAATTTCTACTCCTGCTTTATGCACTTTCCTCAGAAACGTTCCTAATATAACTGAATTGAGAGTGTCTTCCTGTCAAATGCTAGCCTCTTCTGTTTTAGAGACTTTGGCAATTTATTGTTCAAATCTTAAACTGTTAGACATATCATATTGTAGCAATGGACTTCACTTATGTGTATCATGGTTGACAAACTTAAAAAGATTAAAGTATCTGGACATGGCACATACCTTAATTACAACTTCAGAGTTGTTGTGTTTGTTGGATAAAATGAAAAACCTTGAATGGCTGCTACTTGGTTCACCGTCCCTTATCGCTGACCAAGATGCTGTGATAAGTTCAATCACTGATAACTCATGTGGTCCACTCAAAGGTATTGAATTGTGGTACTGGGATAAAATCAGTTTTAGCTTTATTTCACAGTTTTTGTATTGTCATGGACGAACTTTAGTTCAGTTGGATCTAGGCTGGTGTTTAAACATTGGAGTAAATGACATTTTACCAAATGTTGCAAGTGCTTGTCCTAATCTTGTTGTTCTGCTCCTTACTGCTCACCACGAAACAACTGACGCTGGTTTAGTTGATCTCTCTAAAGGATGTTTGCTATTGGAACAGCTTGACCTTCTTGGTTCGAGAAATATAACATTGTCTTTTTTACAGACATTGATTATGGCATGTGAAAACCTCTCATTTTTGGATGTTTCGTATTGTGCTAAACTATCAATTGAAGACGTTGCTAATTTACAAACACTCAGCTCAAATATTTCTATCAAACATGTTCAAACTTATCTACATGAATCCAATTTTTTTCGTGATAGTGACGATAGAAGCTTTGTAGGGTTTTGACTCCGAATGTCCCAACACCTAACATTATGGTTAATGAGCGTTGAATCACTCCATGACAGGATGTATATTATCAATTAATCTACATATTATTATTACATTATCATTATCTATAAATTACATTTTACATTATATAATTATGTTGGTAATAATTTTAGGGTTAAAGAAATTTCGGCTCGTTAGAAGGTCAAGTGTCAATTATTCAACATCATAGTAATGCACTTTAATGAGTTTTTTATCTCAATCACAATAATTGAAAATTCATGTCAGAGATGTCATGATTTGATGAATTGATGAATCAATGATTGGGTAAAAACAGTTCGTAGTAAAAACTATTCAATGATTGTTCTGCTACTCTTTGACTAAACTGTCTATAAACAATGTTGAATCGTTTTGCCCAGCATGATTGAAAATATCGTTGAATTATTGACTTATTTCATCATTTCTAACAAGCTCATTTTACTTTTAGGATGGATTGAGGGACATCCAGTCTGTTCAAGTGATTTGTTCAGACAATGAATGAATGATGATTTATTTAGACATATCAAACACCTCTTATGTTAGTCACTCGGAAACATCCTCCCAACAGGTATTTATACAATTGTTATACGATTTATTGAAATAGAGCGTAGTGTTGTCATTGTACACTTTTAATAAGTTTGAAAGTTATAAAAAACAGCAGTACTATCACTCCCAATGTTGTGCACGTGAATAAGTTAAGGGTGGACAGTGATATTGACACCTGAACTGTTTTAGACTATTGCTTAGAATTGGAATTATGCTTGCATCATGTCATATTATATGATATATTATATATAATATATTATCGTTATCAGCCTAACCATATTTGTCCTTTGGCATCATTGTGTAAAGGGAATCAAATTACATGAACTGATTCTGCATCAAAATATACGATGCAGTGCCCTTTTTTCAAGATATGCTTGCAAATACGTATTTTAAGTCTTTTTGATGCCCCGTTTGAGATCAGTGAGTGTTCCACAAACTCAAACTTACAGAATGCCCATACAGCAGCGTGGTAGATCAGCTCTAAAAGATCGTTGTGTTGTTGTGCTCGGTGAATTCTCGGAGGTGTTTGGACCACTGGCCTTGAAAATAATCCCTGATGATATTGAGAAGAGTACTCGTGAGGAAATCAGCAACTTTATCGGTGAGTTGTATTAATCATTAACTTGTCTTCTAGAGAGTTGAGAAGTTTTCAAATTTTGGTTGAATGCTTGTTCGATTTGGATGGAATACTTCTTTTTGTTTGCTAAATATCTACCTTATTGTCATCACTTGATTATTAGAAAGTTGAACTGATTTGATACAGTAAATACTAAATATGTACGCTATTTACATAATATCTTACTCCAGTACATTATATCTACGAATGGAATCTTTATTGAACCAAGCATTTGATATAGTTAGTGATCCCACGCCCACCCAACAGTGCAAGTGATGGCAGTGGACTACACAGGAACCCACGCGGGAGTACCCACCTACTCCCCAGCTGATACCTCGTTGTTGTACCAGCAGACAAAGTCACACATATCCGCTCTCGTTCATTATTTTAATCTGCACGATGTCAAGGCGAGAGGTTAGAAGCAGCTTATTGTTAAGTAGAATGTAATTTTATGTACCTAGATTTTAATTGAAGCACCATGACAAATGATAATGACCATTATGACTTATGCACAGAATTCGTTTCAAACGGCAGATAAATCATGGTCATGACTAGTGACTAGTGCTATACCGCAATCCAAACGTTCAAGTTTGGTTTTTGTTTTCAGGGTACTCACGGATATTCACCCTCTCTTTCATAACTCTATCACCTGACTGTCTGTTTCCGAATGTAAACACCATCAAATCTTGCTTTGAGGATATCTCCAAGGTGTGCCACGACGAAAATCTCTTGATGTTTCATTCAGAAATGCTGGACAAGAAAGTTCATTTTGCTAACGATGTCATTGAGGTTGGTATTTTTCAGCTCGTGCCTTGTTTGATTTTCTAATTTTCCAAATTTGATACATTTCATAAGTTTATATCTTTTTCAATCACTTTCACCTTAGAATGAAACGTTGAACATTCAGAATTAATGAACAGTGTTATGAATTGAGTCATATACATACCAGGAAATAATTTGTTCAATCCCCCCCGGCCCCCCCCCCCCCGGCCCACCGCCCACCTAGCCTGTAATATCAAGCTGTAACTATCATTTATACCTAAATATTATCTAAACTTAATATAGATTTCTCCAATGATAGCGTAGGCAGATACAATGGTGGTTGAACGAGATGGAGAGGATGTACTCACTACCGTCACCAGCCCCCGACTCCCCTGACAACCTAGATAAAGTGGAAGGTACTGCTACTGATGACATCACTCTCAGACCCTTCTCAACCTACCCTGCTGGTGATGCTGGACCCAAACTGGTCCAGAGTTGGAGAAGTTTACCTAGTTTACTAGATCAGGGTAAGTTCATGAATGACAGACAGATGTTCGAAGACGTATGTTAATAATGTTGGATATCAGATTGGTATGGATTTTAGATGAATTATATCAAGCAAAATTTAAGGATTATGTTTTTAAAGGAGTAGTTCTAAGATAAATTTCCAATAAATTATGACGTAAGTACAAGTAAAACACAATTATGAATGCAATTGATAATTCAGAAAAACTTCCAGACTAAACAACAAATATTTTTAACAAACTAATCTCGCAAATTTTTCGGGCCAGGTCACTAGCTTGAAGTGACGAAGTAGCATTTATCTCAAATTGAGATCAACCAAATCATTGCACCTACTCACTCTGCTCGGCTATTCACACAATTCCAGACAGCTTATTCAACTTGCTATAATATAATCCTTCCTTTTGAATAACAGCAGTTACTCAATCAGCAACTCTTGCTCAGCTCAATAACTGTCCCACTTCAAGTATATTTCATTATTTCAACTTGCTATTTCGTCACCTCACTGCTAAACACCACTGTTTTAAGCGGCACGTCTGCGCGCCATCACATGATCTCCGTCCATTTCTGCCTTATCGTTCATCTCCGCTACTCCCTCTTCAGAATCCGCCGAGCCCCCCGTGTTCTTTTCCATCCAGCTGCCAAAGCCGTGTCCGGCAAATTGAGCGTCAGCTGGTTGTGGGGAAAAGAGCAACATGACTCCAATGAGAAGGAGAAGAGCAAGAGATCTGGATACCATGTTGCGCTAGTGCCTTGGGTTGTGGAGTTTTAGTATTATGTAATTATAAAACACTTTTAACAAGAGGTTTAGAGTAACTTTGTAAAAATATTGGATAGTTTGATTAAAAATAAAACTGAAACTTGGATGCAGTAAAAGGGACGGAGTAATTTTTATCTAGCTGAATTTGAACAACTTGAAAAGTGAAAACTCAGGAGTAGTTCTACGCTAAATTTCCAATAAATTGTGACGTAAGTACAAGTAAAACACAATTATGAATGCAATTGATAATTCAGAAAAACTTCCAGACTAAACAACAAATATTTTTAACAAACTAATCTCGCAAATTTTTCGGGCCAGGTCACTAGCTTGAAGTGACGAAGTAGCATTTATCTCAAATTGAGATCAACCAAATCTTTGCACCTACTCACTCTACTCGGCTATTCACACAATTCCAGACAGCTTATTCAACTTGCTATATTATAATCCTTCCTTTTGGATAACAGCAGTAATCAGGTCAATCAGCAACTCTTGCTCAGCTCAATAACTGTCCCACTTCAAGTATATTTCATTATTTCAACTTGCTATTTCGTCACCTCACTGCTAAACACCACTGTTTTAAGCGGCACGTCTGCTCACCATCACATGATCTCCGTCCATTTCTGCCTTATCGTTCATCTCCGCTACTCCCTCTTCAGAATCCGCCGAGCCCCCCGTGTTCTTTTCCATCCAGCTGCCAAAGCCGTGTCCGGCAAATTGAGCGTCAGCTGGTTGTGACTTGTGGGGAAAAGAGCAACATTACTCCAATGAGAAGGAGAAGAGCGAGAGATCTGGATACCATGTTGTGCTAGTGCCTTGGGTTGTGGAGTTCAGTGTTATGTAATTATAAAACACTTTTAACAAGGGGTTTAGAGTAACTTTGTAAAAATACTGGATAGTTTGATTAAAAATAAAACTGAAACTTGGATGCAGTAAAAGGGACGGAGTAATTTTTATCGAGCTGAATTTGAACAACTTGAAAAGTGAAAACTCGATAAGTAATCTACGTTACGTAATAACAGATTAAATTCTTGGTCCTTACTTCTAACTCTGTAATCTGTAGAACATATTTCGGTCATAATTTTGGTCCAGCAGTAATACTAATATGGCCTTAAACCCCTTGTATTGAATAAAACTAAAGTTACATAATATTATCATAATGATTATGCTGAACTGAATTTAATGAGGGATTTCAGAAATTATGCTGTTTTAAGATTCAACCATAAAATTATCCACCGTTACGTCACATTACGTAAGTTCTTCTTGGAAAAATTGTGTCAGATTGGATTCTGGGAAGATTCGGGTATTAAAATTTAAATGGCTAGGTATATAAATATACCACGTACGGGAATATTGTAAGTCGGTTAATACACTGTGTTTTGGTACCAGGTACTGTCCAAGCCATAGAAGTTGCTAGAATTGATTTAAAATCGCTTTATTAAATCCAGTGAACCAAAATCGAAAGATTTTTAAGGTTTTCGTCATCTTTCGGTCCAACCATAACAAAGACTATCCTAAATTAATATAAAATATGTAACGCAAGGTATTTACAAGAATTAGTAAGACTCGTCCTGAAAACAATTCTGCAAGAACGTCAACGCTTGCCTAAGCCTTTTTTGAGAAAATCACGACCAAAATTTATACTGGAGCTAACATAACGAATAGGTATTCGAAGATTATAGTTCTATCTGTGACCAAGCATTCACTTTATTTATAGTGCAACTATTTGAGCACGAGGAAACAGCGTCATGGAATGTCAATTGTTTAGTACGGTATTTAACGACTATTTAGTATTATATATTTATATAACGTTATATATTTATATAACGTTTATAAACGTTTTTACGCTTTTTGTAAATTCAGATATCTCTGAGCGATACTTTAGCTTTTAATATCTTACGTCTCCATCTCAATATCTACTCATATTATATTGTTATGTACTAAATACTTAAATAATAATATAATGGGCATAATATAGGCATTCTCAAATATTGAAATCTCCGTTATTATAATGTTTAAAGGGCGAAGATGCGATATCATAAAGACTTCTACCTATATCATTCGATTGTTTAATGAATATGACTATTAAAATAAAAATTAAATATTTACGGTATATATCAGATCATAAAGTAGGAAATATTAAAAAGAAACTTTTTAAAAAGCGTGATGATGAACTGTCAAATTTCTCCCGCAAATCCAAAATTGAAGGAATTTCATAAGGTTTTTTCGTCGGTTCCAAGTTAAGGGTCGAATCCGCGCGTTAGCGTGGTGGTTAATCATCAAGCTTCACTCTCTCACGCGTTATCGGGATTGGTGTAGTCGAATCCAGCATTCAATAACCATTTGAATGATTTCCCAGGTTATGTGATAGATGGACCTAGAAGAAATTAGGTAAATTTCTAAGAATTTGTAGCTCGAGAAAGTTCTAGAAACTAACTACCAATATTCATAGTATTATTTGCGCCCTACCCGGGATGGTTTTATAACTTTAGAAGTTATATTATTTATCATTACCTAATGATAAAATTATTATAGCTGTTCGTGGAGCCTGGTTTTTTGGAGGGTAACAGTTAGCAATGTGTCAAATGTGAACCAGAAGCCCAGTGTTTCAAATGCCCGGTGCTTCAAATGCCCGGTGCTTCAAATGCCCGGTGTTTCAAAAGCCCGGTGCTTCAAATGCTCGCTGTTTCAAATGCCCGGTGTTTCAAATGCCCGGTGTTTCAAATGCCCGGTGTTTCGAATACCCGGTGCTTCAAATGCCCGGTGTTTCAAATGCCCGGTGTTTCAAAAGCCCGGTGCTTCAAATGCTCGCTGTTTCAAATGCCCGGTGTTTCAAATGCCCGGTGTTTCAAATGCCCGGTGTTTCAAATGCCCGGTGTTTCAAATGCCCGGTGTTTCAAATGCCCGGTGCTTCAAATGCCCGGTGATTCAAATGCCCGGTGTTTCAAATGCCCGGTGTTTCAAATGCCCGGTGTTTCAAATGCCCGGTGCTTCAAATGCCCGGTGTTTCAAATGCCCGGTGTTTCAAATGCCCGGTGTTTCAAATGCCCGGTGTTTCAAATGCCCGGTGTTTCAAATGCTCGCTGTTTCAAATGCCCGGTGTTTCAAATGCCCGGTGTTTCAAATGCTCGCTGTTTCAAATGCCCGGTGTTTCAAATGCCCGGTGTTTCAAATACCCGGTGCTTCAAATGCCCGGTGCTTCAAATGCCCGGTGCTTCAAATGCCCGGTGATTCAAATGCCCGGTGTTTCAAATGCCCGGTGTTTCAAATGCCCGGTGTTTCAAATGCCCGGTGCTTCAAATGCCCGGTGTTTCAAATGCCCGGTGTTTCAAATGCCCGGTGTTTCAAATGCCCGGTGTTTCAAATGCCCGGTGTTTCAAATGCTCGCTGTTTCAAATGCCCGGTGTTTCAAATGCCCGGTGTTTCAAATGCTCGCTGTTTCAAATGCCCGGTGTTTCAAATGCCCGGTGTTTCAAATACCCGGTGCTTCAAATGCCCGGTGTTTCAAATGCCCGGTGTTTCAAATGCCCGGTGTTTCAAATGCCCGGTGTTTCAAATGCCCGGTGTTTCAAATGCCCGGTGTTTCAAATGCCCGGTGTTTCAAATGCCCGGTGCTTCAAATGCCCGGTGTTTCAAATGCCCGGTGCTTCAAATGTCCGGTGGATTCACTAGATTTTTCGTAAATAAGTTCACATACCGGCTAAAATATAAACGAACACTATGATTTTGTCACTGATACAACAGAACAGTTTGTCATAAAAATCGTTGATTTTTATGATGATGTTTTACATTTTATCTCAAGTTATCGATCATGCTAATAAAATAATGAGTCACGGTTATAACCATAATATTACGGTGGAAATTTAATTAATACTAATAATGAAAAACTTTCGTTTTTGGATTATTTTTAATTAAATTCTAGGAATATTTATCAGAATTCTTTGTGGCTGCAGAAATCAAGTTATGTTATCTGTGGCGAAGTTGCCAGTATGATTATGAATAAGTGGACACATTTTATCTACATATTGACATATAAATTGTCTCTTTGTGCACCACTATTGTAGCACAGAGTACTTTACCCTAGTACTTGGAAGATCCAAGAGTCCGTGACTTTCCCAGATGTTCTGACTGATTCATGTTATTAATATTTCACTTCAAGTTCATGGACATCTTTCGGTCGCTAACTCAACAATTTTGGTTGAATTTTGTAAGTAAAATTCATTACTTAAAATGAAGCAATACTTGGCAAGCATACAAATTTTGATTTAAAGCAGCAACTTGTTCCATTTTTCGCAGGGAATCATACCTATTTCCTCATCCATGAACCTTAATACTTTAATAGAATAGACTGTTAATTATGGAACTGGGCAGTACTGTAGGCAAAAAAATACCATCGGACATAATTGCATTTTAGCCGTGATTCTACGGCTTTTGCTGATTAAAATGAAACCAATTATAACTAAGCTAGAAGTACAAAGTAGAACCATCGAACTTTAACTGTAAGTGCAAAAATAAAATCGTGCCTTAACCGTGAGTTAAGTGAGCATCGACAGATTACCGAATTTCCGCAACTTCTTAGTAAAATCTTTATTCTTGAAAGCTATTTAAGAAAAATCTGCAAATGCCCGGTAACTTTCACAATTAGTAGTTTTGTGATAAAATGGCCAGTTCGTGATCAAAATTTGTCATTTGATATCATTATATGAATATATCTGTGGGAAGAAATTCACGTTCACCATATTTGTGAATTGTGATGTTTAAAACTTGATTTTATTTATTCATATTTATACACATTAATAATTAATATAACACACATTAATAATTAATATAACTCGCAGATCCGTCAAATAAGTACGTGAAGCATATAGTGAAGGGTAAAATACAGTGCGGAGAGGGATCACTGCGGGGTATTGCCGAGCTGGTTCCAATTGCTTACTGTTACTTGCAGCGATCCATGGTTCAGCTCTACAAGAGCAAAGGTTTTTACTGGCTACTGTACTTTCAATTTAGGGTGTACTTCTATGATATTTTAAGTGTTGTTCTCTCTTAGTCTTTACATTTTAAAATTATTACATTACAATCATTGTACAAGGTATAATGTGTATAATGCATTTCTTATAATTATATAGATGCTTAAATATCACGGCCATCTTCGTTTATCTTGAGATTTCAGGGTCAAAACTAAATTAAGCGTTTTTGACTTTCGTCTCATTTTGATACTGACATTAAATTACCAAAGTTGTGTTTGTTATAAACGTTGCAGTTTAAACCAACAAGACCCCATCACAGGTACCTGTGGTAGTTTAAAGAAACCTTGTGTTAAAGAGACACCCACGTTAGCGATAGGACGATACTCTATACAGGTAACACGTTCATCAAATAGTTTGCATTTTTCCTACCATTTTACTCCAGGAAAAAAATCAGCAGGGAATCTTAAATATTTTTTTAAACTGCTGTTAATTGCTTTTGTATCGATTTTTACTGCTCTTATCAGCTAAAATTATCTACTGTTACCATCGGCTACATATTGTATTCACCGTGTACATATTGTATTCACCGTGTACATTGAACCATGGGAAGTATACTAAAGCAAAATGACAGTGAAAACATTAAGATCATCATCGGGAAACTCCTCGATAAGGCTGTAATACCTATCAGACCGGTTATCTCCGTTTTTGACAGTGTTCAAAGTCGTACGGCCATTATCAAGCGGCTCGATCAGTTCACGGTTCCGTTACTTAAAAGTTGTGCTGAGTTTCTCGGTATTGCTCTTGCTGATCAGAAGGGTTTCAAGATCTTTGCTAAGCCAGCTCTTATGGATCGTGTTTATTTAGGTTTCAAAGCTCTCTTGATCTAGAACAAGTCGTGGATTCATCTAGGGTGAGTTTTTTTCGCCGATGATACTAGGGTCTCCAAACAGATTGGCTGTTTTGAAGACTGTCAGTTGTTACAAGAAGATATCTATAAGATTCTTGACTGGTCACGTAGCAACAACATGAAGCTTCACGAGCAGAAGTTCGAGCTGTTAAATCACCTCCATAACAGTAAGAGCTCATTCCCCGAACTACCCTTCAAGTATCCAGTCAGGACATACTTTATCCTGTCGAAAACGTCCGAGATCTTGTAGTTATGGTCTCAAGTGATCTTAGCTGGTCGACACATATCGGCAACATGGTACCCAAAGCAAGGAGCACGCTATCTTGGGTATTCAGTGTGTTCAAAACTCGCGACAAGACCGTAATGACTACTCTCTATAAGTCACTAGTAAGAAGCCTACTGGAATATTGCTGCCCACTCTGGAGCCCTACCAAGGTGACTGAAATACAGCTGATAGAGGGGGTGCATAGAACTTTCACCAGTCGCATTGGCGGTCTTCAACATCTCAACTATTGGGAAAGACTTGTACAGCTTAAATTGATGTCTCTACAGCGCAGACGGGAGAGGTATATCATCCTGATGATGTGGAAGATTCTCCATAATGTGGTACCAAACTGCTGTGATATCAAGTTCAAGGTGACCCCAAGACACGGTGATGTAGCTGTCATAGCCTCAGTGTCCAAGTCAAGTTCCGTACGCAACCAGTCACTGTACGACAGGTCTTTTGCAGTCCAAGGACCGAAACTGTGGAACATAGTGCCGCACACAGTAAAGGCTGATACATCCTTTGACATGTTTAAGTGTAGTTTGTCGAACTTTCTTGCTTTGATACCGGACAACCCTCCGGTCGCCGGCTACAGCTGCAGTTGGTCAAACTCACTGGTTGACTACTCGCCATCCAGGTGGTCAGATATCTGATGACCCTTCCGGCTCCACGGATGAACTCAACGAAGTAACGAAGTAACGAAGTAAGTATTTGCTAAATAAATTAAGGAATATCGTACTGGAAAACAGTGTATCGAAAGTATTGTTGGAAACAAAATCAATACTTTAAAATAATACACAATAATTATCGTGTTACTATAACATGGGGGGATGATCAAGCTGCCGATGGAACATAAACGATGAGCAATGAGCAATGACCAATGAGCAATGAGCAAGTGCAAATTATTGCAGAATAACCTGATAACAAGCAATCAGTGAGACTGATCATATAATACCTTTTGTGGTCATTTGATACCATGACAAAATATGGCCAATGCAATGGGCCACCTAATCTTGAAATGAAATTCTTGTTTATTAACCATCCTTACTTTTCTTAATTAAATTCTAGCGTTTATTCAGTACACCATCTGTATTAAATTCTTAATTTAACTAGATTTAACTGAATAGTCCGATGAAGGTAAAAATATTTCTAGCAATGATGAATGCCTCCACAAAACCAAGCACGATTACTGGAGAGGTTTTAGATATAGCGACAAATGTTTACAGAATATGAACAATTGAGCCTGCAATGAAGAAGTTATCCCGATAAACGATCGTGTTTATATATGGTACAATCCCCCTTTCAGCGCACAAGTTTCGCAAACATTTGAGACATTGTTTCGCTCTATAAATACATAAATACTTTCCCAACATTAGCCACTGATTTGACCAACTTCATTGATTTCGATTTCTCAGTTATTCTACATTATGAATGATTCATATTCCTGCACTCTCCAGTACTTAATTATTTGTAATATTATTATAGTTGTGTTGAGACCCTTGAGAAATATACAAATGTGCAATCTTGATAAATACATTTTTTTCAGTTCCCAAGTCCAACTTTCACGTCTGGTGTAGAAGGAATTGCTAGTATAGACAAGGTTAGTGAAGCAGACCCCAATTATGAACAATTATTGAACGCTTATCTTAAATCAACGAATATAATATGTATTCGCTATATTGTCAGCTTTTGTTCGAATATCTAACTATTCAAAACATGATAATATCTTATAGGTATTTGAATAGGGTTTTATATTATATTACTTTTAAGTTTTAGTAACATGTAGTTACCATGCACTGTTCCATTTCACAGAAGGAAGAGCAGTAAAGATAAGGTAGGAGGATCTACATTTTACCTGGACTCTAGAACCAACAGTGATGATGATGAGGGTTTTGGCACTACACTGGTGGGGGACTCTACGTTTTACGACCGATACGAGCACTTTAATGACATTGACTGGGCAGTTAGGGAGGCTCTGGAGGAAGAGGAGGAGGAAGAGGGCAGATCTGGGGGAGATTCATTAGAGGTCGTGTTATTTGAATTTGTTAGAGTCTTTAGAGGTCGTGTTATTTGAATTTGTTAGCGGATAATTTATTGTGTGGCTGTTGCAACCAGTCAAAAATGACTGCTCGGTCATTAAGCCATATTAAGTGACATTATTATGTATGACTCGTCGTTACATTCTAGGATCGGTTTATATATTAGGACTTTGCAAATCAAAAATTAAGTTGATATTGTTTGACGTCAAGTTTAACCTTATACTTCATCTCAGTACGAGATCAACTTTAAAATTTTCAGAGTAACGCTTACGACATACTGCTAAGTCCAAAACTGGATTGTTCGCTGAAGAGTTCTGATCCTTCCTTCATCAGCGTCTTCACGGGATCACCTCTATCAAGTTCGTTTCTTACTCTTTAGATTTGCTGTTTCGACACAATAACCATAATATAATAACCAGTCTGACTGATGAGGAATCAGTGTGAGATTGATTGATTTGCATATTTCAGATAATAAGCAGCAAAAGTTGAGACAATCAGTAAGCTGCAGTTCTCCGAAAACTATAGAACTTGACTTGTTCCGGTTCAGACGAATTCTCAGTTAGTTTCTACTAAATTGTGCTTTTAGCAAAGATTTGAAATGTCGCTGGTATTCCAGGTGTTCTAAGCTAGAAATTGAACTTCAGTTTGATAACGTTACAAACAAACAATTAAAACCAATTTCTTATAATAATTGATTTAAGCCCTATTACATAATAACCCCCACAGAAAACAGTTACAGAGACTTTGTATTCTCCGTTCTGAGTGGTCGACCTCTGGTGGTTATAGGTAACGAGGATGACGACATGAGCTGCTCCTTTAAAAACGCTCTGTCTCTGTTCGTGACGTGTCCTCATAGGGTGTGCCCTTTTGTCGTCAGTGGTTAGTACTTTAGTAGTAAGCAGTTGTTAGTAATCAGCCTGTGGTTAGTAATCAGCGGATTGTGATGAAATGAGGGTGTAGCCAGCTCCAATTATATAGTAAAGTCTCTAAAGTACTAATATCATTAGGTTATTAGTTTTCAGAACTTTATTGTTACTTTTTTAATACTTTCAACACTACTATATAACAAATAATTTGAGGATTTGGAATCTTACTTCAATACTACTGTATAGTTTTTCTCAGAACTAAAGAGTTTGGAAATCCGAGTCTGGTCCTCAGTACTTGACAGGGCATTATGGCGGATATGAAATTGAAGAAGAAACTGGAGATAGAGTTGGAGAAAATCAACACCTCCCTTAAGGTAAGAATATCTGAGTGTGATGATGTTAAAAAGTGTACTAATACAAAGGAGGGCATTTGGCAGTCCCTAAAAATGGCCTACAATTTAGCTGAAAAAGCAATCGAAGCTCTGTCTTGCCCACAAGAATCCAGTACACATGCACAGGTTTTAGCTATTGTAAGAGAGGAACTAGCTTCTACACTGCCACATATTATCCAGGAGAGCTTGGCAACAGCTCAGTCAGGTTATTCTGGTGTGAAGTCTTTGCATACTGAGAAGGTCAGGCACACTTTGGTGGTTGAAAAGAAGTCTGAGGACTTGGGACCTGATGGAGATATTAAAATCTCGGGTGAAGAATGGATAACAGTTGTGAAAAAGGATCTTAAGCGAAAACTGAGCAATATTCCTGTAGTTAGGGCTAATCCCCCTAAAACTGAAGGTGTTGCCAGACTGGTGTTCAAATCCAAAGAGGATCTAGGTCATGCAGAAGAAGCGCTTAAATCCAAATATAATGTCACATCTAAGTCGGAAGAACTGAGGAAGCTTAATCCAAAGATAACTATCTCAGGCCTTGATGCAGACATAAAGACGAAAGAAGAGCTAGTGGAGGGTGTCCTGAAGAAGAATGACACTATCAAGACCCTGATGAAAAAGTATACATTCTTGGTGATTTCAATGTCAACATTTTGAAAGACCCATCTCCATCAGAGGACAAATTCCAAGAAATAATATTCAACAACGGCTTCACACCAACCATATCAGTACCAACACACCAAATGCCTGGCTGTTCCAGGACTTGTATTGACAATATCCACACCAATGTAGTAGACCAATCCCTTATTTCTGGTGTGATATCTGATAATATCTCCCACCATCACCCTGTATTCACTCTTGTTGAGCTTCCCCCTAACTCTGTGCCTAAACCTGATTCACCAGACAAAATTACCATACACTACGACTATAGTAATGCTAACCTAGAGAAGCTCTGTCTTGAAATAGAAAACGATATAGATAGGTTCCAGTACAGCTGTGACACATTTGACTCTTTCATGCAGTTATTTCAAGAAAAGATAGATTTGTCTTGCAAACTTCTTACTCCTAGAACCACTAAACGCAACAGCATAACTAACCCTTGGATTACCCAGGGGCTAATTAATTCCATAGACAAGAAAGCTAGGTTGTATTTCGAATGGAAGAAGACTTGTACATTAAAACTACCTGACGGGGATCAAAACAAGCACATCTGCTACAAGGAATTCGACAAGTTTCTCAAAAACTCAATAAATATGGCAAAAGTTATGTGCTATACTAGAAAATTCGAGAAGTACAGCATGAACTCAAAAAAGACCTGGGAAGTTATCAATGAACTCCGTGGTAAGAATGTGTCTAGATGTAAGGACGATTTTGTCATAGATGGCCAGAGAATTACCTGCAGACGAATAATTGCTAACAAATTTTGTGAATACTTTACATCTCTTGCAAGCAATCTCAATAGAAATGTATTGTCGAACAATATTAGTATTTCTCTGGAACCAGTAGAATCATTTGCTCAATTCATGTCTAATTCAGTGTCTGACTCCATATACCTAGAAGAAACTAATGAAGATGAGATTATCGAGGTCATCAGAGATTTTCAAAATGGCAAGGCAAGTGACATACCTATAATCGTTGTAAAAAAATCGGCAAAGCTCATCGCTGGTACCTTGGCTAGGCTTTACAACATATGCATACAAAGTGGAACATTCCCAAGTATTTTTAAAACTGGTAAAGTTATTCCTATTTACAAGAAAGACAATAAGGAATGTATTGAAAATTATCGGCCTGTATCAATATTACCTTTATTTGGAAAAATTTTCGAGAAGGTCATTTACAAACGGCTCTATAATTTCTTCACGTCTAAAGGTGTACTAACAGACTCGCAGTTTGGATTTAGAAAAGGCCATTCTACCGCCCATGCTCTACACAAATCTATAGACTCTGTTACAAAGTCCCTGGCTAGCAATAAACATGTCCTAGGCATATTCATTGACTTGAGCAAAGCCTTTGACACCCTTGATCACAATATTCTTCTAAGCAAGCTAAATTCCTATGGTATTAGGGGCACAGCACTAACTTTACTAAAAAGCTACTTGACTAACAGAAAGCAGTATGTGATGTATAACGATGTACCATCAGAAACAATGGATGTGGAATTCGGGGTTCCTCAAGGGTCAATTCTAGGGCCATTACTCTTCCTACTGTATATGAACGATATAGTAAACTCTTTTTCAGACAGTGAAGTGAAATTTGTACTTTATGCTGATGACACTAATATCTTCATATCAGGACCGTCTAGAGAAGCAACATACAAAAAAGCCAACTTAGTGCTTAAACATGTCTCGATTTATATGAAATGTAATCTACTTCATATCAACATGTCAAAATGCTGCTACATCCATTTTAAACCTGCCTCTGAATATGATGACACCTGTGCACGGACTAGACCATTTGCTACCCTGCTAGATGAATCTAGATCAATATTCATCAATGGTAAGGTTATCACTAAAGTCAAGGATACCAAATTCTTAGGTGTTGTTATAGATAGTAAGCTAAACTGGTCTGCCCACATGCACTACATCCGTAAAAAACTGAGGTCCATGACTGGTGCAATCTGTAGAATTCGGCACTCGATACCTGCTGAACTATATTTAAAAATATATAATGCTCTATTTGAATCACATCTAAGTTATGGTATAAGTGTTTGGGGAGTTGTCCTCAAAGAACGGTCAAATGATAGTCTTTTTATCACACAGAAGCACTGTATAAGAATCCTTTTTGGTGATCTCGACTCATATCTAGATAAACAATCAACATGTGCAAGAACTAGACCATATGGCATGCAAATACTAGGCCATAAACATTTTGAAAAGGAGCATACGAAACCCATTTTTAATAGGTTAAAAATTCTTACGGCTCAAAACTTGTACAAATATCACTGTATTTTAGAATTCTCTAAGATTATCAAGTACCACTGCCCATACTCCCTTTATGAGGCTATCAACATTTCAAACCGTGCAACGAGTCTAACAGTTATTCTTCTAAACAAATCAAATACCTTTTTGTTTAATGCAGCCAAGCTTTGGAACACTGTTCATAAAAAAATTTTAACTTCAAGCAATTGTCTAGAAACTTCCATTAACTTGATAAAATTGAGAACGAAAGCACTATTAATACAATCACAGGCTGCTGACTTAAAAGAGACTTGGACTCCAAACAATTTTAAGTTACAGTAATTTAATCTAATTGCAGCGGCACATAACATAATTTAAACTATTGCTATCATTATTGTACTACAGACTGAAAATATCTCAGATCTATTTTGGGCGTTTTTAACAACTTGTAGTTGTAATTCTTAAATATTAGATATCCTAATCTATAACTTTTTAATCAGAATGAATTAATAATTGATATTTGATAATTTATTTATTTGATAGTTTAGTCTGATATTGATATTAATATTGATTATATTGATATTGTTATTATTGAATGAAGCTAACTCCAGACATAAATAATACTACTTCTATTAACAAAGGGACTTGGAGTATAAACGACCAATTTTGCATAATTGTCTTTCCAACCAAGAATTCAGGAGGCAAGGGTGGGTGCGTAAACTTTATGGTCTGCACTCTCAGATCCTGTATCACCCTGGATTCATTTCGACGTATTTTTGGTAAAAGTATACATATACTTTCTGGTCACTCTCTTGCTACTCCAAGTCCCCTAAGATATATGGTCTAAAGTTTGCACTAGTTATATATATAAAATATGTTTTTGTCTGCTTTAACTGATACTAAATAAAATTGTTGTTTTCTTGAAATTGTTGTTTTCTTGATGGAAAATGGTGATGAGTTCAAGGCTGTCTTTATGGATGACAAGGATAGGTTTGCCGTTTTACAGGTTTCACCGGCTATAAGGGAAGTTATCAAAAAGGCTGGAAACAGGATCTGTCTGGGATTGGAAATGTACCCTGTCAGAGACAGGTATCACGTTATACAGTGTTATCACTGTCAAGGTTTTGGTCATACAAGTGGATCCATATACTGCAAGTCCAAGGACTCAGACCCAACATGTTTCTACTGTGCAGGAAGCCACAAATCGAAGGACTGTATTAAGAAGAAAGAGAAACAGACAGGGGACATACGATGCACAAACTGTTCACATAGCAAGAATCGATCAGAGAAGTCAGATCCAAGACACAAGGCGTCAGACACTCTTTGTCCGTTTTATGTGAGAGAAAAACTGTGGGTCATGTCCAGAACTCACTCATCAAGTGATGCAAAAAACTCCTACCAAATCAGGGTAAAGGAGCTAATGACAAAGAGAACAAAAACCTAAGGGTTGGAACCTTTAATGTCAGATCGCTTGTAAATAAGACAGTGGGAGTGATGGAGCACCTCAATGATCAGAAATGTGATGTTTGCTTTGTACAGGAAACGTTTCTTAAGGAGGCAGATAGCGTAAAGATTCAAGAGATCAAGAGTTATGGCTGGGAGATAATATCAAATCCTAGGAAACACAGAGGTGGAGGAGGTATTGCTTTCCTTTACAGACCAGAAATAACCTTAAAAGTTAACGAAAAAGTAACTAAGTACAAAACGTTCCAGGTTATGGAAGCATTGCTCCAATCTGAGACTGAGACAGATTCGATTCGCTTTGTGAACATATACAGGCCTCCTTATACAAAGAAAGCTAGATACACGGAATGTATGTTTCTAGAGGAGTTCGAGAGCTACCTAGATGACTTAAGTACCAAGACTGGTATCCCTCTTCTGATGGGAGATTTCAACATTCACATGGAGCGTCCTAATGATTTGTACCCTA